CCATGTTGACCAGGATGGTCTCGATCTCTTGACCTCGTGATCCACCCGCCTCGGCCTCCCAAAGTGCTGGGATTACAGGCGTGAGCCACCGCGCCCAGCCACATGTAAATTTTTAAATCTTCAAAGCGGTGCGGTGAGGTTGGTATCCTCGTTGGTTAAGAGCTCACACTCTGGGCAGACAACCTGGGTCTGACCCCAGGCTGCACCTTTCACTGACTGTGAATTCACCTCTCAAATCATCAGATTTTTCTTGTGTAAAATGGAGATAAAGAGTAGTAGTAAGATAGTTTAAGATAAGATTACCTATTTTGGGTCAGGCACAGTGGCTTATGCATGTAATCCCAGCACTTTGGGAGGCCAAGGCGGGAGGATCACCTGAGGCCAGGAGTTCAAGGCCAGCCAGACCAACAAGGCAAAACCATGTCTCCACTAAAAATACATAAATTAGACAGGTACAGAGGTGCACACATGTAATCCCAGCTACTCAAGGAGCTGCGCTATGAGAATCACTTGAGCCCAGGAGGCAGAAGTTGGAGTGAGCCAAGATCGCGCCATTGCACTCCAGCCTGGGCTATGGAGCGCGACTTTGTCTCCATAAAACAAAAAAGAATAGCAGTCTATTTTGCGGAATTATCATGAGGTCTCAGACATTCAGAGGAACATCCAGATTTTCTTCTTTTTCTAAGCATTACTTGAAGTCCACTATCCTGGATGCCCATTCACCAGAGAGGGTGAGCTGGGGTTGAATGTGCACAGGGCTCCTTATGATTCTGGCCTCATCCCCTGACTCAGGAACCTGGCGGACCGAGGCCGTGTTCAGCGAGGAAGCACTGATCCAAGTTCCGAGTGACATCCCTCTTGAGAGTGCTGCCACCCTGGGTGTCAACCCCTGCACAGCCTACAGGATGTTGATGGACTTCGAGCAGCTGCAGCCAGGTAGGAACCCACAGGTTGGGGGAGCAGGCCAGGGTCTCCCAACTGGGGTGCCACCCAAATCCTGACCCCAAGGCCAGGAGAACTTGCAAGGTGAAGGGTATGAGGGGGCAGTGGACCCCTAACCTGGGTGAATGTTGTTGCTTTCACTTAGAAAGATGTTAGCTTGGTTCCTAGAAAACATGCTGAAACCTCATGAGGAATACACTCTCGAAAACTGCAGCAGGGTCACATTCTCTAGAGCTTGGGATTGAATTCTCTCATTCAGCAAAAATGCGTTGAGCTGTGCTAAGCTCTGGGGATACAAAGCCAGACAAGATAGATACAGTCCCTGTGTTTTCAGTAAAACGCTGAACTTAGTGTTAATAATTCCATTCAGCATTTACATAGCACGTTTGAGTTCACATAAGTGCCTTTGCAGGCATTATTCCCATTGAGTGCATTAAATCTTCAAAGCAGTGCGGTGAGGTTGGTATCCTCATTGGTTAAGAGCTCACGCTCTGGCAGACAATCTGGGTCTGACCCCAGGCTGCACCTTTCACTGATTGTGAATTCGCCTCTCAAATCATCAGATTTTTCTTGTGTAAAATGGAGATACAGAGCATGGAGGGTGAAAGACTGCAGTGTAACACGGAACACAGTGCTGGGCAAACAGTGCAGAGACGTTCCGCTGCTTTTACTCTTCTTTCTGTTCATAAATGGGGAAGCCGAAGTCCAGAGAGGTAAACCATTTGCATGAGATCAGCTAGCCAAGTGTTTTATTTGAATTTCCCTGAAAGCAGAGCCAAAGACTCGGACTGGGTACAGACAGTTTGTTTGAGAAGCAGAAATGAGGGGGAGTGGGGAGAGCCAGACAGAGATGGTGGTAAAGCTTATGAAGCCCAGTTACTGCTGCAGGCAACTACTCTCAGTCTAGTTTTTGAGACAGAGTCTCGCTCTGTCACCAGGCTGGAATGCAGTGGTTCAATCTCGGCTCACTGCAACCTCTGCCTCCCAGGTTCAAGTGATTCTGCCTCAGCCTCCCACATAGCTAGGACTACAGGCGGCTGCCACCATGCCTGGCTAATTTTTATATTTTTAGTAGAGACAGGCTTTTGCTATATTGGCCAGGCTGGCCTCGAACTCCTGACCTTGTGATCCGCCCACCTCAGCCTCCCAAAGTGCTGGGATTACAGGCGTGAGCCACAGCGCCCGGCCTGCTTAGTCTTGCTGAGGGCCCTCTGAAGACTCCCATAGACCCCACCACAGAATTAACTGTCAAGGCTGGGCAAGGCTAGGTGGTGGTGAGTATAGATCATGCCACTGCACTCCAGCCTGGACAACAGAGCGAGACTCCATCTCAAAAAAACAAAAAACAAACAAAAAAAAGAACCCTTGAATGATGGGAGGCTGGGCCAGTTTTCCACTAATTCTCATGCCCTATGTTTAAGGGTTGCCCTAAGGGCATTAACCCCCTGGGCTGCCTCTGCACACCATGCACATCCCTGAGCCGTAGAAATCACCCAAGCCACCTCTTGTGCCAGTAAGGAAACTGAGGCGAAGAGCCGTTGGAGTGTGATGAAACTTGGTGCCCAGCCACTGGCGAAGGCCTGGCTAAAAGCCGATGCCAGCTCCCACAATGAGAAATACAGGTTTCTCAGAACTGTGTCAGAGGGGCCCTGGGAGCCTTTGGTGGAAAAAACCAGTGGCTGTGACCAGGGACCGTTGCTGGAGTCCTAGTGCAGCAGACGCTTTGTTTGCCTGCGTCCCATGCCCTGAAGCCACCTCCCATTTGGGCTGCAGCTGTGGTAGACAGATCTAGGCATTTCAACGCTGCCCGCCCTGAGTCCCCACTGCGCATCGCTCCACTTCACTAATTCAAGGCTGATGCAGCACAAACTAGATCAATGTTGAATAAACTTAGCATCTTGACACATGGTAAGAAATACATTTTACATTGTGATCAGTTTATACAAATGGTAATATATATATATATAATGGAAACCAAAGTTTCATGAAATACCCTTACTATGTGTGACATACTCTGTTATATTTTATTCTCTTCTCAATTTCAACTTTTAAAAATATGCTGCAGCCAGACGTGGTGGCTCACACCTATAATCCCAGTACTTTGAGAGGCAGAGGCAGGCAGATCACCTAAGGTGAGGAGTTCAAGACCAGCCTAACCAACATGGTGAAACCCCATCTCCACTAAAAATACAAAAATTAGCCGGTCGCAGTGGTGGGTGCCTGTAATCCCAGCTACTCAGGAGGTGAGGCACGAGAATCGCTTGAACCCGGGAGGTGGAGGTTGCAGTGAGCCAAGATCGCACCATTGCACTCCAACCTGGGCAACAAGAGCAAAACTATGTCTCAAAAAAAAAACTGCTGCTTGCAACCAACTAGATTGATTCATAATCCACTAGCGGGTGACAACCTGTATATTGACCCCTGGTGAAGAAGAATGGGCATTCTTCTTCCAGGAAGTCCTCTATCTCTAGTTCCAGCCCATTGTGTGACACATCCCTGCTGTCTTTCAAAAACCAGACAGTATTTCAAAGTCAACAAAGCACTTTCCCGACCCCAATACATCTGACTCTAATCAGGGGCATCCTCATTGGTGCTCCCAGGACTGCCATTTTAAGGGAGGGAAACTGAAGTTCACAGAGGTCATGACTTGCCCCATCCATTTAGTCGAAATCATTAGTGAAACTGAGACTCACACCCAGGTCCGTCTCATTCCAAAGCCCACATTTTTCCCAGCATGCCACAATGCCTTCCCCCATGGCCAGGTCCAAAGCGAGACCTGGGCTTTGCCACAAAACTGTAGGACCCTGTTTCGGGGGCTGCCAGTTTCTCCAGAGCAGCTCTAATCCCATTTCAAGGCAGTGCGCCTTGATTAAACACTGCGGAGGGGAATAGGGCATGGCCCTTCCCTCTCAGGAAGCTCCAAGCTGCTGATAGAAATGGACCTATATACAACGAAGTGTAAAGATGGGACAGACCATGGTATGTGCATTAATAGAGAGGCCCACAGAGCACGGTGGGAGCACATAGAGGGAACAATCCAGGAAGGCTTCATGAAGGCTGCACGTGAGCTGTGCTTCAAAAGATCTGCAGGATTTCAGTAGGAAGGAAGAGAGAAGGAGGGAAACATTGCAAACCAAGGAAATAACCAAAGCAGACTTGAGGACATAAAAGTTAGGAGGGCTGGGCGTGGTGGCTCACGCCTGTAATCCCAGCACTTTGGGAGGCCGAGGCTGGTGGATCACTAGGTCAAGAGATCGAGACCATCCTGGTCAACATGGTAAAACCCCATCTCTACTAAAAATACAAAAAAAAATTAGCTGAGCATGGTGGTGCGGCCTGTAGTCCCAGCTACTCAGGAGGCTGAGGTAGGAGAATTGCTTGAACCCAGGAGGCGGAGGTTGCAGTGAGCCGAGATCACGCCATTGCACTCCAGCCTGGGTAACAAGAGCGAAACTCTGTCTCAAAAAAAAAAAGTTGGGAGGATGATGAAGGCTATAAAATCTTACACAGCAGGGCAGGGTCCAAGTTATCTCCAGTGTAGATGCTGAGTTGCCAAGTCCTGGGAGGCATCGTGAGTGTTGTGGAAGTTTAGGAGGCTGCCGGGTGTGGTGGCTCACGCCTGTAATCCCAGCACTTTGGGAGGCCGAGGCAGGTGGATCGCAAGGTCAGGAGTTTAAGACCACCCTAACCAACATGGTGAAACCCCGTCTCTACTACAAATACAAAAATTAGCTGGGCGTGGTGGCACGCGCCTGTAATCCCAGCTACTCAGGAGGCTGAGGCAGAAGAATCGCTTGAACCCGGGAGGCAGAGGTTGCAGTGAGCCAAGATTGTGCCACTGTACTCCAGCCTGAGCAACAGAGTGAGACTCTGTCTCAAAAAAAAAAAAAAAAAAAAGGAAGGTTAGGGGGCATTAGGGAAACCATGAGAAACAGTGAAATTCTGAGACGACTCAGCAGCCGGGTCCTGGGTCTCTTTTTTGAGCCTGAGGACTCCCATCTCTTGCCTACAGTAGGTTCCCTGACTGGGAGCCCTTGACCTATTGCAGAGCTATACAGGGCTTGACTTGGGTCTCTTCCTGGCTCCACAGGGGATTCTGTCATCCAGAATGCATCCAACAGTGGAGTGGGCCAAGCAGTCATCCAGATCGCCGCAGCTCTGGGCCTAAGAACCATCAATGTGGTCCGAGACAGGTGCGTGGGGAGGAGGCTTCATCCCAGACCACGATTTGGGCCTTTCCACCTTCCGTCCCTGCAGTGCCCACCTCTCCACCAGAGGGCGCCCTTGCGTAAGCATAAACTGGCCTTAGGATTCACTAACAGTTGGCGGCTGAAACAGATGAGTCAGCCCCAAGAAATGAAGTCCAGCTGGCTTTTGGCGCTAGGATGAGTGAATCTGAAATGTAAAGAGAGAGCAGGAAGGAGGTGGAGACTGCCCTTACTGAACAGCTAGGACTTTTTGAGACTCTTGGCTTGTGATCACCTCATGTTTTCAAAACCCCAGTTCGTATTTGGGAATGTTTTCAGCTGTATTATTCTTTCTGTGAACTGTCTACCCCAAGGCACCCTTTACCCTTGCTTTTGAGTGGTACTTGGAAGTGCACTAAATACAGACATGAAGGAGACGGGGCAGGTTTGTCCTCTGTCTTTCACGGATGAGGAAACAGGTTTCTGAGAGCAGCTTGCTCTCACAGACACAGCAAGTCAGTGACAGGCTCAGTGTCCTCACTTATTCTCTTTCCATCACATCGTCCAGTTTCTCTAGGCCTCATTGTCCGTGAATGTGGCTGTGGCTGTCAGGAAGCCCAGTCCTAGTATAATTGACATCAGCTTTAGTTCCTCAGTTGTACTAACAAAAATCATTCCTTGGCCGGGCCCAGTGGCTCACACCTGTAATCCCATCACTTTGGGAGACCAAGGCGGGCAGATCACAAGGTCAGAAGATCAAGACCATCCTGGGCTATCACAGTGAAACCCTGTCTCTACTAAAAATACAAAAAATTAGCCAGGCGTGCTGGTACACACCCGCAGTCCCAGCCACTCAGGAGGCTGAGGCAGGAAAACTGCTTGAACCCCAGAGGTGGAAGTTGCAGTGAGCCAAGATCACACCACTGCACTCTAGCCTGGGCGACAGAGCAACACTGCATCTCAAAAAAAAAAAAAAATCATTCCATTTGCCTTAACCAAAGAGGTCCAGTGCCACTCCTGGGCCTAGTGTGTTTGCACAACCCTTTGAAGATCCCCTGGAAAAGAGGGAGGAAGTGGAGTTTGTCTTTTTAGTAGAAGAAATCAGGAAGTTAAGTGACTTCTTCCCGGGCACAGATGGCTTCTAGCACTGTTGAGCTGTCAGGGACTGTGGAAACCACCCAGTCTCACTCTGTTTCCAGTGAGGAGGCAGCCAAGAGCTATTGAAGCCAGATGAAATTAGGTGGCTGGTCCCTGCTCAAGCCCATCTTAAACCTAATCTCAGCTTCCTGCAAAAAAAAAAGCATAGGTTCTCCCAGCTGTAGCAGAGGGGTCCTGGGAGACTTTGGTGGGAAAAGCCGGCAGAAGTGACCAGGGACCTTGGGGACTATGTTTGCTTTCCAGACCTGATATCCAGAAGCTGACTGACAGACTGAAGAGTCTGGGGGCTGAGCATGTCATCACAGAAGAGGAGCTAAGAAGGCCCGAAATGAAAAACTTGTTTAAGGTACCTAGGAAGTGGGATATTGCCCCTCCAGTCCACGCACGTCTCCCTAAAGAAAGTTGGCATGCATTAGAGAAGCTGGGGACTGGCCCCATTGTTCCTCTCTGGAAACCTCCCTTTGCCTCTTCTCGGTCAGTTAAAGCTCATTACCCCTAGCCAGCGGCAGGCAGCATGCATTCAGTGCCCAGATGCTGGGAGGGAGGCCGGAGAAACAGAGTTTAGGACACCCAGTATGACTTGCAGCTTTAAACGTTTGTGGTGGGCCACATCAGCCCACATGTGTGACTCTTAGAACTGGCAGGAGAGGACCTGAGGAAACAGAGACATAGCAAGAGAAGAGAAGAAAAGAAGTAACTGCCTGCCTTACATTTTCTCTGATAATTTCCACAAAAACTCTTTAAAGGAGCTGTTGTTTGTTTTATTGGTGAGGAAACTAGGACTCAGAAAAGATGAAGTGGTTGGCCAAAATCATATTGTTTATAAGGGGTAGAGTCAGAGCTGGCTTCAGTCTCTCTGAACTCAAAAGCCTCTTAACTTTCCAGAACCTCCTCCCACAACATGCCTCATAAGTGACCAAACCCTCAGCCCTTTTCACTGAACCATCTGGAGGAACCAAAGATGCACACTCGAGAGCATGCACTTCTTGCAAACATTTCTGAAGCAGTACATCAGCATATATAATATCAACCAAGTCACAAGAACTGAAAAGGAGGGCATGCGGGGAGCTGAAGCCCAGCAGACTGCATGCGGATCTCTTTCCTTTCTTTCCCAGAGAAGATGAGTTCTGCCAGGTTCTGAAGCGGACAACAGGATTAAGTTGCTACAGAAAAGGCCCTTCTTGGCCGGATGAGGTGGCCTCACACACCTGTAATCCCAGCACTTCGGGAGGCCAAGGCAGAAGGATGGCTTGAGTCTGAAAGTTTGAGACTAGCCTGAGCAACATAGTGAGAACTCTATCTCTACCCAAAAAAAAAAAAATTTTAATTACCCAGGCATCATGATAGGCATCTGTAGTCCCAGCTACTCGGGAGGCTGAGGCGGGAGGATTGCTTGAGCCCAGGAGGTTGAGGTAGCAGTGAGCCATGATTGCACCACTGCACTCCAGCCTGGGTAACAGAGCGAGACCCTGTCTTAGGAAGAAAAAGAAAAAAGAAAGAGAAGACCCTTCCTAAGCAGAGAAAAAGGTGGGTTCAAAGGCATAAACACACACACCATAGATGCGTGCATGCACACACAAAGACATAAACATCTCATTTTATTTCCTCCCTCCTTCTAACACGGCACTTGGGCAAGGGAGGTGCTGTTTGTAGCAAGGTCAGACACCATACGTAGAGGGGCCGCTCCCTCACTGCACATTTGTTGCTTTCCAGGACATGCCCCAGCCACGCCTTGCTCTCAACTGTGTCGGTGGGAAGAGCTCCACAGAGCTGCTGCGGCAGTTAGCGTAAGTCCCTCAGCCCTGCAGGTCCAGCTCGCCAGAGCTCTCCAAGTCTTTAGCTGGGAAGAACATCAAGTGACCGAGTCCCAGTGGCTGGTTCAAGCCAAGGCCAGGTCAGCACAATGCAGAGTGGAAACTAGGACCAACGTCATCCAGCTATTTGGGCACTGCTTTCTCAGCCTCCATCCTCTGTGAATGACCAAAAGGCCTCTCCAGCTTTATTTTTCCAAGGGACCCAGAAGTAGACTGCTAAGCTGTCTGCCATCAAGGATTTATAACCTAGGGGTGTCTGAAAAAGTCACTTAGTCCTAGTTTAACCTTTCAAAATTTGTATTAGCCTTTAAAGTAGATTCTAATTTTAAAGGTAACATTATGTTTATTACAAAACATTTTGAAAACACGTAAAAGTGCAAAGGAAAACTTAAGCATAAAAGTTACTCGTTGTGGCCGGTATGGTGGCTCATGCCTGTAATCCTGGCACTCTGGAGGCCAAGGTAGGTGGATCACCTGAGGTCAGGAGTTCAAGACCAGCCTGGCCAACATGGTGAAACCCCATCTCTACTAAAAATACAAAAATTAGCTGGGCATAGTGGTGCATGCCTGTAATCCCAGCTACTCAGGAGGCTGAGACAGGAGAATTGCTCCAACTCAGGAGGCAGAGGTTGCAGTGAGCCGAGATCACACCACTCCACTCCAGCCTGGGCAACAGAGTGAGACTCAGTCTCAAAAAAAAAAAAAGAAAAAAAGTTACCTGTTGGCTGGGCACTGTGGCTCATGCCTACAATCCCAGTACTTTGGGGGGCCAAGGAGGAAGCATTACTTGAGGCCAGGAGTTTGAGACCAGCCTGGATAACATAGTGAGACCACATCACTACAAAAAAATTTTTAATTTTTTTTAAGTTACCTGGCCAGGCATGATGGCTCTCGCCTGTAATCCCAACAAGACGGGCAGATCATTTGAGGCCAGGAGTTTGAGAGCAGCCTGGCCAACATGTGAAACCCTGTCTCTACTAAAAATACAAAAAAATTTAGCCAGGCATGGCGGTGCACACCTGTAATCCCAGCTACTCGGAAGGATAAGGCACAAGAATCGTTTGAATCCAGGAGGTGGAGGTTGCAGTGAGCCAAGATTACACCACTCTACTATAGCCTGGGTGACAGAGGGAGACTCCTTCTCAAAAAAAAAAAAAAAAATAGGCCGGGCGCAGTGGCTCACACCTGTAATCCCAGCACTTTGGGAGGCCGAGGTGAGTGGATCACGAGGTCAGAAGTTCGAGACCAGCCTGACCAATATGGTGAAACCCTGTCTATACTGAAAATACAAAAATTAGCTGGGTGAGTGGTGCATGCCTGTAATCCCAGCTACTCGGGAGGCTAAGGCAGGAGAATCACTTGAACCTGGGAGATGGAGGTTGCAGGGAGCCGAGATGGCACCATTGCACTCCAGCCTGGGCAACAAGAGCAAAACTCCATCTTAAAAAAAAAAAAAAAAAGTTACCTATCACCCACCACCAAGGGGGATAAACCTGTTGACAATATTAACAATGCATGTCCTTCCATTCCTCTTTCCTTTAATATAAACTTCTTGAGCTAGAGTGTATGTAAGAAGACACTTTCTAACTGAAGCAGGAACCCCCCTTAATGGCATGGATTCAGCTAGCACATACTTTCTGAGCACTTACTAGCTACCAGGCAGAGAGGGGGCTGTGACACTGATGTGCCCTCTGAGAACTCACAGGCCAGATGAGCAGGTGAGTCACGTGGTGAGCATTCACCATGCACCAGACTGTGTACAGTGCTTGACTCACCCCTCCCACAGCCACCTAGACAAGGGGTACAGTTCTAATCTCTGTTTTATACTTTAAAAGATGAGGCTCAGGCCAGGCGCGGTGGCTCACACCTGTAATCCTTGCACTTTGGGAGGCTGAGGCGAGTGGATCACCTGAGGTCAAGAGTTCTAGAACAGCCTAGCCAACACGGTGAAACCTCCTCTCTACCAAAAATCCAGAAATTAGCCAGGCTTGATGGTGGGTGCCTATAATCCTAGCTACTTGGGAGGCTGAAGCAGGAGAATCGTTTGAACCCAGGAGGCAGAGGTTGCCGTGAGCCAAGATTGCATCACTGCACTCTAGCCTGGGCAACAAGAGTGAAACTCTGTCTCAAAAAAAAAAAAAAAAAAGGCTGGGCTCAGTGGCTCACACCTGTAATCCCAGGACTTTGGGAGGCCGAGGCGGGTGGATCACAAGGTCAGGAGTTTGAGACCGGCCTGGTTAATATGGTAAAACCCCATCTCTACTAAAAATACAAAAATTAGCCAGGCTTGGTGGTGTGTGCCTGTACTCTCAGCTACTCCAGAGGCTGAGGCAGGAGAATCACTTGAACCCAGGAGGCGGAGGTTGTAGTGATCCAAGATCGCGCCACTGCACTCCAGCCTGGGCGACAGAGCAAGACTGTCTCCAAAAAAGAAACAAAGGCCCAAAGAGGTCAAGTACCTGGCCCCAAGTCTAGTCAGCAGGAGAGCCAGGCTTGACCCCACATTTGAGCACACCGCTTCAGCTCTACACCAGACAGCCCCTGCGGCAGACCCCAGTCCCAACGTCATTGCAGGCGGAAGTGTTCTGCCGTGGTAACGGGTGTAGGCACTGGAGTCAGAATGGCAGGGTTCAAGCCCCAGCTCTGTGACTTACTAGCTGTGGACCTATGAAAAGTTTTTTTGCTTTCTTTTTCTTCTTCTTTGTATTCTTTCTCCCTAGACTGCTCAGCAAGAGGACCTATGAAAAGTTAAGCAATACGTGAAAAATAATCCAGGCCTCCATCTCTATCTGTAAAATGGGGGTTCTGTAAACTCTCTGCCTTTGGAGGGTGGTCTAATGCAGGGGTCCCCAACCTCCTGGCCACAGACTAGTACCAGTTCATGGCCTGTTAGGAACCCGGTCACACAGTAGGAGGTGAGCGGTGGGTGAGTGAGCATGACCGCCTGAGCTCTGCCTCCTGACAAATCAGTGGCAGTATTCGATTCTCATAGGTGTATGAACCCTATTGTGAACTGCACATGTCAGGGATCTAGGTCCTGTACTCCTTACGAGAAGCTACTGCCTGAGGATCTAAGGTGGAACAGTTTCATCCCAAAGCCATTCCCCGCCTCTGGTCCATGGAAAAATTGTCTCCCACAAAACTGGTCCTGGTGCCAGCAAGGTTAGGGACCGCTGGTCTAAAGGACACCGAGGTGTTATACAAATTGCTATACAAATAAGGGATGGTTTTCAGTTTTCTCATCTCTAAAGCAAGGTTGTTACGAGGAATCCCTGAGGCAGTACATGCAAAATGCTTTGAACTGTGCTGGCACGTAGCAGAAGCCCGGTGAGTTTTAGCTAGTCCAATTAGACCAAGTGCAGCAGGGATACCGAGGAGAGGGGGCTTGGCTCCCAGGAGCTACTTTCTACAGCAGGTGGCAGTCCAGGGGCACTTAAGACCAAGTTACCCGGCAGCCTCAGGGACAGAAGTACCTGCCCAGAACAGCAGCTCCTGCTATTTGGTAGTTTTCTTTTTTTTTTTTTTTTTACCCAGGCTGAAGTGCA